ATTTAGTTTTTATAACTGTTTACATAAAAACCCCTGATAACTGACCTCCTATAAAAAGACTATTCAAACTTCGGTCTGGAGCTGTAGTTCTGACTCTCCACCCCCGAGCCTCAGGCTGCAGTCATTGGCCAATTTTAAAGACTCTTTAAACTTAATCTGACTTTAGGAATTGTTCATTTGGTGGCACTCTACAGTGCTCCTATCTCGGAATATGTTACCTCATACAGCAAAAGGGACTTTGCAGGTGTGATTAAGAAGGGTGGGTGAGGTACCAGCAAATGGCGTAATGGTTATGTTGCTGGACTCCCACGTAGTCAACCGCGATTTGAGTCCTGGACAGGCAATTGGAGTGTGAGTAAAGTGAGCAGGGAAATAAATCTTAGGCAAAATCTTAAACAAATCTTGCTCCAAATATGCCGCATCATAGTATGCGAGGAAGGCGTGAAAAGAGACTGAGTTTCCTGGAGCTGTTTAGAAATGCTATCATCCAGGGTGGGATAAAGAAATGAACGAGAAATTATCCTCCTAGGGGCTTCTGTCTCCAGGAGCAGCAGGCAGTCATGGCTAGCAGGTGGCTGTTTTCTGGGCCTCCCCATCGCATCCCAGTGAGCTGGCCTTGCTCTGGATTTGAGGAGGAGGTTTCCACAGGTGACACCCAACTCTCTTCCCCCATCCTAGATGTGGCCTGGAGCCTCAGGGCTGCCAAGGGGCTTCCCACTGTGACCCACGGCAGTGTACTAGGTGCTCTGCCTTCAGTTCATTGGGGTGCAATAAAGTATTCTTTACCCCATCTTAACCAGACACCCCCAATTTGTAGATTTACTAATGCAATGTCCTATCATTCCATTGCCGACCACACAGAGCCTAGATCCCCTGCCTACGATGTTCTTCTGCAAGGAGGCTGGGAATTAACAGGGAAGGGATCATTCATGTGGTGCTCTTAGGTACATAGGTGACGTTCCTCTTGTTCTGCAGGTTTGAGGTTTAATTCCATTTTCCTAAGTCAGTCGCCACTTCTTCACACTTCTTGTGACCAATGACACTTGCATGCAGCTAGAGAGGTAGGATGAGGACTACACCTTTGGGGTCTGTGTACAGAAGGAGTCACTGTCCTGACCTTTTGGACACTGTGTTTCTTAACAAAGCTGGCCTCGCTGAGGTGATCTGCCAATGATACCTAACCTTGACCCATTTCACAGAGGAAGGGGGAGGATGCCCTTCCATGGAGGGCTGGGCTTCCGGTCACTTTGTCCCATCTCTGAAAAGGGCAGCTGGCATAACTGTCATGCAACGCTACACCAGGAGAAAGGCTAGGGAAGGACTTTCCCCCCGCCATGGTTCTAAGAGGGGTTGGGCAGGAGTAAATGTGGCACCACCCCTTAATGCCCAGGCACCTGGCTCACTAGTTGATCAAAGCTCTCAAGGACAGAAATTGAGAGACCCAATGCTTCCTCTGGGTGTTTTTTGGCACTAGTAGTTAGATGGGCACTTATATTTCCTCCCCTGGTAGACAGACTAATGGCCCCCCAACCATGTCTAACTCCTGTGGAAGGCCACATATTAGATTTTTTTGTACAAACTGTTTGTCAATTTAATTTTTTTATCTTAACATGACTGTTTGTTTTTGTAAACCAGCTTGTTCTTTTTATGAGAAAATAGTCTAGACTAGTCATATAAAAAACTATATCTGGGACGACACCTTATATCTAGTATTGTCTTTACTAACTAGTCCAAAACCCTTTTGTTTAACAATATAACTACTTATATGGAAACCCCACTCCCCTCAAAAATAATTATTAACTTATTTGATTTAGTTTTTATAACTGTTTACATAAAAACCCCTGATAACTGACCTCCTATAAAAAGACTATTCAAACTTCGGTCTGGAGCTGTAGTTCTGACTCTCCACCCCCGAGCCTCAGGCTGCAGTCATTGGCCAATTTTAAAGACTCTTTAAACTTAATCTGACTTTAGGAATTGTTCATTTGGTGGCACTCTACAGTGCTCCTATCTCGGAATATGTTACCTCATACAGCAAAAGGGACTTTGCAGGTGTGATTAAGAAGGGTGGGTGAGGTACCAGCAAATGGCGTAATGGTTATGTTGCTGGACTCCCACGTAGTCAACCGCGATTTGAGTCCTGGACTCAGTGGCTTAAAACGCATGCCAGGCACATCTGCATGTGTGCCCAAATCCTGAAAGGAGAATGGAGGAGAAGGAATTGCAGCATGGCCATCCCTCCTGGGGGGGGGTGGGGGGGGTGATTTCTCATTTTCTGTCTCTCTGTCTCTCTCTGTTTCTCTGGTGAACGTATGTGCCCTATAGCAAATCTCTCTCTAAAAAGAAAAAAGAAGGGATTACTCAGGCAGCCCCACTGCAACCACGACCGTCCTCACAGGTAAGAGAGGGAAGCAGGAAAACCAGAGGAGACGTGAGGAAGGGAACAGTGCCCAGGTAATGCAGTACGAGATGGCTCCGCCAGCCACTGCAGACTTTGAAGATGGGACAGGGCCACAAGCCAAGGAACCCAGAAGCCTCTAGAAGCTGGACAAAGCAGGACATGGATCTGCTCTAGAGCCTGCAGAGGGAATGCAGCCCTGCTGACTCCTTGATTTTAGTCCAGCGAAATGCATTTCTGAGGCCTGATCACAAAACGGTTGATCATAAATTTGCGGGGTTTTAAGCCACCGAGTTTGTGGGTATTTGTTATAGTAGCTGTAGGAAATTAACATATTGTTCCTAGGAAATCCTGTGCTTCCAGAAGGCAGGAATGACATCTCTTTGTAACCCAGTGGCAATGCCTTGCCCACAAGGCTGCTTAATAAAGACTTGTGGGATGAATGTACTTGACCTTGATCCATGAAAGAACCTGTCCAAGACACTTAGTCACTTCTCTACATGTAATTGCTCAGGATTTACAACTGAGATACGTACACACGTGCGCACACACACACACACACACACCTGGCTTGGCCTAGAAACGTCTTGAGGGGTAAGAACCTGCCTATCCAGCTGGCACATGTAGTCTGACTACAGGGCCATGCACTCACTGTGAGCCACAAGTCCCCGCTGGGGGTTATTTGGTAATATGAAGCTAGAACCACAATTGCTTCAGGACCAAGGGGGAAGGAAGAAAGGTGGCAAAGGGCATCGCAATTCTCCTGCAGAAATTTTACAGAATTGAAAGGCTGAAAAGAAACCTCCCTGGCCCTACTCTGGAGACCCCAGTCACCTTCTACTTCCAAGACAGAATCTAATATTTATAATTCATGCCACACTTGAATTTCTGCCAATGGGCCATCTCTGCCAGAGTAGGTGCATTCGAACTTTGTTCTCTGTGCATTGTTGAAGAGTTTTCAGAGACTACCTGCTATGGTTTGGGAGTCCCCCCAGAATCCATGTGCTAGAACTCGGTTGTACTATAAATGTATTAAGAGGAAAGTATCGAGTTTCATGGAGTTAATACCTTCACAGAGTTAGAAGGCGGAGACTTTCAGAGTGATGACGTGATTAGAGTGGGGTTTGTAAGGAGATGGAAGGAATCCAGAAGGAGCCATACAGACAGACACCGAGATACACAATCCTATTCTCATGTGAAGTCCTACAAAGCCTCGGAACCCTGTCAGCAACACCCCCACCAGCACCACTTACCAGATGCACCCCTGGACCACAGCTCTCCAAACCTGAGCTGAGTAAAACTCTATTCTCCTAAATTATCCAGGTATTTTCCCTTATTAGCAATCAAGCAGACTAAAACATTGCCCTTCCTCACTCCCCACGACACCTGTAGGTCTCTGTGCTATTAATGCCCCAGACTGGCCTTACTGTGGCAATCCATGGCAAAAAGCATGGCAGGAGGGAGATCTCAGGTGCCAACTCTGTGCAAAGAAGAGAGCATGCAACTGTCACCAGACAGTAGAAAGAGCCTTGGATGTTTCCAAGGCCCATTCTTGACACAGAGCAGTTCCCATATCCTAGCTGGGGGTTATGTGAGTTTAGGCATAAGGACTGAAGAAATGGAATTGTCTAGGATAACCCCCAGACTCCTGATTTAGGGGATGAGAAAGATGGCTAGCTCCTTTAGCTATAATGTGGGGACAGTAAGAGGAGAAAGTCCCAGCCCAAGTGGGCATAACACTCTGCTATGGATGGGGGCCCCGAGGAGCTTGCAGCACACCCACTTGAAGATGTCTAAGTCATTGGTGAAGTGATAGGGTCTCGGGTCCAGGACAGAAGGTCCAGGACAGTACTTAATATGAGAGTTGATGGTGGGAGAACAGACGAATAGACTGAATCTTCCAGCGTCAGAAGAAAAAAGGGCAGAGTCTAAAAACTCTGGTGAACACCAACAGTCAAGAAAACAGGCAGAAGTAGAAAAGCTAACAAAGAAACAGAGAAAAGGTGAAGAAAGAGAGGAGAACCAAGAAATGCGGCCTTTTAGAAGTGAAAGAGAGGATGGTTTCAAGAGGGGATGGGTCAAGCGTGTCCAATGTTCCAACGAGGTCAAGGATGATGAGATCAAAAGAGGACCCACGCAGGGCAGTGTGAAGGCACTGGTGGGTCCTGTGGGAGCAGCTTCTGTAGGGTGCTTGTGTGTTTAGTGTGTGTGTGTGCTGGGTGGGGAGGAGGGCACAAACAAAATCACAGAGGATTCAGGATTAAACGGGAACTGAGGACACAGGGAGCAGGTGTAAGTGACTCTTCTTAAGGAGCAGGGAGATGAGGGAAGGAGAGCAATGAGGCAAGAACTTGCAAGGGAATCAGGATCAAGAAGAGGCTTTGTTTTATAAGGAGAAGAGCTTGAGTATGAGAAGCACCCAGTAGACCAGAGAAGATGTCCACCAACAAGAATCGGAACACTGGGATGGAAGAACCCAGCAGGAACAGATATGTGTGTGTTGCTGATGACAAGGACAGTGACATCACCTCCACCCCAGAGCTGGGGTGCAGATGGCTCCTCCCCGTGGCTCGCACGTGGGTCTGCCCCACCATAGTCTCACCTCGTGGAGTTTGTCAGCCTTCTGCGTCTGCTTCTTCCGACTCCTCTGAGCAGCAACTCGGTTTTTCTCTCTCCTGCGGACTTTCCTATCGTCATCCTCAGGGCTCTGGGGCAAAACATGTGGTAAGGAGTGATGGTGAGGCCCCATGACTTCCCTTCTCTGCCCTCTCTCTTCCCAGCTTTGCTCATTGCGCGTCACCATTTTGCTGGCGATCCACAGCAGGGTTTGTGGCTATCTCGGTGGGCTCACCACAGCCCTTGTGAAGGAGAGCCCACCATGTGCCGCGGTGCTGTGTACCGGTTCGTCCCCACGACAGCCCTGAGAAATGTGTGTTGTGACAGCCACTGAGCAGATGAGGAATAAGAAACTCCAAAAGGGCGAGGAACCCGCTCCAGGTAGCACAGTGAGTGAGTGGAGAGTGGGAAGTGGAACTCAGGTCTGTTGGTCTCCAAACCAACGTTCGTAAACCTCTACCCCACAGGGTGTGTGCCTGGAAGAGTCGTGGTATCAAGGTCGTTCATCCACAAGTGGGAAAGCCGGGGGCATTTGCTATCAGGAACTGGCCATATGTCAGAGCTTGCACCACCACCACACGAAGCAGGTACTTTTTTCTTTTTCTTTTTTAGGTTTTTACCATAGGGTGTATTCACTTATGGGAGAGAGCCAGAGAGTACAAAGAGAGAGAAGGAGAGAAATCAAGCTTCAGGGAAGATGGCCATGCCGCAATCCCTTCTCCTCCAGTCTCCTCTTGGGATCCTGGGCATGGACACACACATACCCAGTGTGACTTTCAAGCCATCAGGTCTGGGACTTAAACTGCAATCAGCCATGTGGGAATCCAGTGCCCTAACCACAACTACTTGTATTCAAATCAAATGTACACTTCCATCTCATTGCAACCGCATACCTCTACCGACACACCAAATGCTCAACTCCGCTGACAACGTGCTCATTTGAAGTGCTTGACTGACAGTTTGTTTCCGAGGTTGGAGTGAATCAGATAGTGAATGTCTGATACATCTTGAAAGCTTTAGCTATATGTGATGCTCTAGCCAAACTCAGTCAAATCCTTCGAGAGTTAGCATGAAACAGGCAGGCAGAAAAAAATGCACCTATCAAGGTAAACCACCCTTCGTTCAGTGTAGAAAACATGGAAACTAGAGCAGTATTTGCTTTCCAGAACCTTGAGAGAAGATATCAAGGAGGAAGAAAGCAACACTGTCCTTAAAGAATTTCAAAGTCAAGCAGTTAGTGGGGTACAGACACAAGAAAGCTGCTGGGTTATTAATATGAATAGAAAGCAAATACTGATAGCACAAAATAATGGCTATTCTCAATGATCATTTTGTCTGGTCTCGTATTCCAAATAAGAAAGACACCTCACCTCCTCAAGTTACTGCAGGTAAGAATTTTCAGCACATCCAAGAATATAACGGCATAAAAGGAGAAGGATGAAGAATACACAGAACAAATATAAGTGCTCTGCACAATGCTTAAGGGAACAGAGACAAGGTGCAAAAATGTGGTTGTCTAGAGGCAAAGAAGTCTTGATAAACATAACCAGAACATCACAAGGGGCCATGTGATGTAGACCAGTGGTCCCTAAACTTCCTGGCACCCAGGACTGGCCTCATGGAAGGTAATCCCTCCATGCACAGGGGAGAAAGAAGGAGGATTGGGCCCAGGATGACCCAAGGGCACCACGTCCATCATGCACCATACTTCCACACTGCAAAATACGATGAAAAATGAAATAATCACACAGTAATGCTCCCACGAGAATCCAGTATCACTGCTGATCCAGCAAAAGGAGGAGCCCAGGTGGCAATGCAAGCGATGAGGAGTGGCTGTAAACACAGATGAAGCCTGCTTGCCTGCCCACCTACCCACTGCTCATCTCCCACTGGTGGCACCTGTCTGCAGCCGAGCCCACAAGAGCCACAGATCAGCACTGCACCATGGCTGGGGGCTTGGGAACTCTATTGTTTTTTTTTTTTTTTTTTTGGAGAGGTTTTTGCTAGAGATGTGCGCTCACCAGAAAGACAGAGAGAGACAGAGAGACAGAAAGTGAGAAATCACCCCCTGTGGGGATGGCCACGCCACAATCCCTTCTCCTCTATCCTTCTCTCAGGATCTTGGGTGTGTACGCACACATGCCCAGCATGAGTTTAAGCCACCGGGTCTGGAACTCGAACTGCGGTCAACCACGTGGGAGTCCAGCGACATGGCCATCATGCCAACTGCTGGTCCTGCTTGGGGACTCTTGAAGGAGACAACTAAACGGTAGCTCTAGATCACACAGGTCCCAGTTTTGTCTTCTACTGTCAATACAGCCTTGAGTCAATGATTTATGGACTCTGGGTATTCAGCCTCCTCATTCATTCTTTTAATACGTATCAGCTGAGCACCTCGCACATGCAGACACTGCCCTAGACCTTGGAGATACAAGTGTTGAACATAGGGCCAGTGACCTCGCCTGCATTCATACTGATAGCCTAGCATGCCCCCAAGAAGCTACTTGTTTTCAAGGTTGCTGCTATTTCTTTCTCTTTTTCTTTCTTTCTTTTTAAAAATATTTGCTAGCGAGTGTGTGTGCTTGTTGAAGGTGGGCAGGAGCAGGAGAGAGAGAGAGAAATGGAAAACCACTCCCCATGCGGGATGGCCAGTAGCAATTCCTTCTCCTCCATCTCTCCCTCCTTTTGGGATTTTAGACACATGGACACATGCCCAGTGGTTTTATTTGTTTTGTTTTGTTTAGTTTTTAGAATTATTTATTTTTATTTTATTTGTTATTATTATTATTATTATTATTATTTTAATTTGACCAGAGAGAGAGAAAGGGAAAGTGAGAAAGCAAGCTGCTAGGTCTAGGACTTGAACCGTGGTTGGCCATGTGGGAGTCCAGCACCTTAACTACCGCCTCACCTGCCGACCCCACCAGTGTGTTTTTTTCCAGCTGCTGGGTCTAGGACTCAAACCAGCAGGTGGGCCATGTGGGCTTTAACTATTTTAACCACCATGCCATCAGCTGGCCCAACTGGTACTCTTTTAAAAATGTAATCCCCCATAGTGTTGGTCACTGTCACACCTCTTTGTTCTCCATAATCAAAAAGTCACAGGGCACAAGGAAGCAGCCTGTGTCCTGTCCTCTGAGGGACTGACACTCTAAATTGCACGTTTCATAAACCGTCACACCTGCCAACCTGCAGAAACATTTAATTGAGACAGAAAGAGGTAAACAAAATTTTGAGATATTTATATATTATTATGCATGTCTCATTTAGTCCTTAAAAAACTGAGAGCTTATTACCTTCATTTTACACATGGGGAAACTGAGGCTCAGGGAGGTTAAGCAAATTGCCCAAGGCTACTTGGCCTGTGGCAAAGCTGGGGCCTAAACTCAGATTTGCGTGATACTTTGGTGTCACCTACATATGACACTACATATCAGACACTGTATTTAAGGGGGCTGGGGGGACAGAAAGAAGAAAAGACCCAGTCTGCTGGCTAAAACAGCTGGATGCTAAGTTTCTGAATGCCGGCCAGTCCCTGCAGCGACCTGGTCTCTTTCTGGAGTGCACAGTTGTCAGTGTTTCTGGGGACATCACAGAGAACTGACTGGATGGGGGCGAGGGGTCTCCCTACAGCGGGCCCCCATCCTACAGCCACAGGCTGGCCGGTCTGCCTTCCCCATTCCGGGGCCAGTCAGAGGACAGTGGATGCTGGGAGTGGCTGGGGACGGGCCGCCCCATTGGCTGAATTCCCAGTCTGGCTCTCTGGCCCCCTCCAGAGCGGCCGGAAAGGGCCACGCGCTCGGGCCATGAGTGGCAGCTGCCTTCAGCTCAGGGATGGGGCTCCCCTGGGGCAGCGCGTACCCCACGTGCGGGAGAGTGCGGGCCTTGCCCTGCCCAGCCCCGTGTCTCTCCCTCCGGACCCGGCGTCCAGCGGGCACAGGTGCCACCATCGTCGCCACCGACACTATGCG